GTTATTTTTGTGTTGCGAAGCTTAGTGTCTCTAGATTGGCAAAAATTTACAATTCTGCTGTTTCAAATGTAAACAAATATGTCCGCCATGTTATTTAAAACTTAACCGCACTTAAACAGCTTTTAAATTGTTGATAATTGTACAAATATTGCTTCCAGAATTATGAAAGGCATAAAAACTTTAACCGGAAGATAAAAACAACATAATTTAATCATTTTTAAAGCAAAAAATATACAATTTACAAACATATAAGAGTAAAGCAACTGAGATCACTGAGCCGGGTAACATAGTGGCTATATATATAAATATATTTATATACGTTTGGTGCGGCCGATTGAAACCAAAATACGAGGTGCACATCTACATGTTATAGTTGTCTTATATACAAAATTTCAACGTTCTGAGGCTACTCGTTTTTGAGTTATGCGAGATACGTACGTACGCACGCACGTACGTACATACGTTCGTACAGACGCCACGAAAAAATTCTCTTCAGAATTCATTTTAAAGCAGTTTTTTTTTTTTTTTTTTTTTTTTTTTTTTTTTTTAAGGAAAAGAGTCTTTTATTCTGTCCTTACGTATAGATATTACGCAAAAACATCGTTAAATTGCATTCGAAAGCGGTCAAAGTGGATATTTTCGTTGAAATATGTTGCCTGAAGCTTTTCGCGATTACAATACTTCCTTTTTACTTCGTACAAGGAAGTAAAAAACAATGAACATAACATTCTACAAAATAAGAACAAAAATAAAATAAAATGCACTTACCATGAATGAATGCGTTTTCGAACAGCAGAAATACCAATTTCATGTCACCACGTAATCACTACCGCCGCCACATAATCACTTTCCTAATTATATGACAGCCAGGGACACACTATCCAGGAAATTCATACTATAGTTCACAAATAAATGTACAAAACCTTTTCTTAAATCCTTGTAAGATTTCCATCTATCCTAAAAAATAGTTGTACCAGGCTCAATCCACTCTTTAATACCCTGCATCAGCGTTTCCCTACTTCTATCATGCACAGCCACTAAAAATAATCTCCCAGACCCTCTTTCCACACTTCTAAATACCCACTGCGCCTCAACAGGACGGCCACGATGATATTTCTTTTTGCCGAACTTCGATTCATCAACTTCCACCACTTTATCTTTCCCCCCTGTCTTCTCAGACACAGAGCATTATATAGAGCAGACTCGTTAAAAACTCCAACATCGTACCTTTTAATACTAAATTTCCTTTTGCACACAATCTAAACTACGCAACATGATTTACAAACATGATTTACAATTATTAAAACCTGAAAAAAGTATGTCTGCGATGTTATCGTCATGCGATGATTTGTAGATACTTTATTTTTTACCACGATATTTTCGACGACGATGTTTTTAAACTGCGAAGTTTTTGAACCGCTTTATTTTCGACGACGATATTTTGTACCGCGATGTTTTAGAACTGCGATGTTGTCTCTTTGCGATGTTTTCACCCACGATGTTTTGTAGCACGACGTTTTCGCCTTGCGTTGTTTTCTCCGCGACGTTTTCGTCCGCGATGTTTTTGCCGCGATGTTATCGGCGAACACCGAAATTATATATGTGGTTTGACGTAAAATGGTGGAACCATAGCTTTTAAAACCTGAGATTAGTATCCTTTTTAGTAGTCTGAGAATATGATGTCTTTATGAGTTATTTCTTTTTTTCTTAATTTCGAATGTCTCTTTACAGCTTTATAAAAAAACTTGCAAATGCCAAGGAAAATTTGAGGACTGAGCATTCACTTTTTTAATACTTCTGTCTGTTTCATCAATTTCGTTTAAAGAATTTTGTCTTCCAAATTTGAACACACGATAGCACCCATTTTGCGGAAGTAATTATTCTAGGCAATTGCAGCTTTAATCAGCAATGTCTAATCTTATTCTTTGCAGCATTTAATACTCGCCAACTATATCCTCAATCAGAAAAAAGAATGCCTGCTGTGAGAAAAAGGATATAAGAACCAACAGTCTTCATTAGCACCGTAACGATCGAGATTCCTTTAAATTCTGTACTTCTTCAATCGAGATTATTAGTCTAAGGAGGCTTCGTCTCTGAAGGACTATTGTTTTCGTTTTGCGATTTTGCGTTGAGTCACTATAAATGTCCGTTTCACTTTTCAAACTGTTGCCACCAAATGTTAAGAGTCCTGTATTATATTTAAAGAAGTTAAATAATGAAAAATCTGTATAAATGTATTGATATTTCTTGCCTTGTGATAAAACAACGGTACACACAGCCATCGAATTTTGAATGACGTAATCCTCCTACGAATGTGGGCATGTAGAAGACCAAATTTGAAATTTGGAATTTGTTTTATGATCGATTTCATATTTCGTAAACTTTAACGAATTTTTGATTCACAAACTCAAGGATTTCAAAGCGAGCAATGGCAACACTCTACGAGGTAAAAAAAACCTTTTTATCTTCAGCGCGCGGAAAGGTGTATCGAAAATTCTAAAGATATGCTCATTTTAAAATTATTTTGGGACATTGCTATTGAACTGAATTTTATGGTTTAAGTGCAAAGGACATGATATTTAATAAATAAAGGTAACACAGAAAACGTTAAAAAAAATCGCCCCTTTGGGCGTAATTTAAAATCTGAAACATTTAAAATTTTTATTTTTACTTCCTTGTACGAAGTAAAAAGGAAGTATTGTAATCGCGAAAAGTTTCAGGCATCATATTTCAACGAAAATATCCATTTTGATCGCCATCGAATGCAATTTAACGATGTTTTTGCGTGATATCTGTACGTAAGGACAGAATAAAATACTCTTTTCCTTCAAAAAAATTATAAAACTGCTTTAAAATTAATTCCGAAGAGAATTTTTCGTGGCGTTTGTACGAACGTATGTACGTACTTACGTATCTCGCATAACTCAAAAACGAGTAACCTCAGAACGTTGAAATTTTGTATATAGGACTGCTATAACATGTAGATGTGCACCTCGTATTTTAGTTGCAATCGGCCGCACCAAACATATATAAATATACTTATATATATATCCACTCTAATACCCGGCTCGGTGATCTCAGTTTCTTTACTCTTATATGTTTGTAAATTGTACATTTTTTGCTTTAAAAATGATTGAATTATGTTGTTTTTATCTTCCGGTTAAGGATTTTATGCCTTTAGTAAATCTGTGTGCAATATTTTTAGAATTATCAGCAATTTTAAAGTTGTTTAATTGCCGCCAAACCTGTTTTTAATGGCGGCCATTGACGTTTACATTTGAAACAGGAGACTAGTGGATTTGTTGCCAATCTAGAGAAACTTAGCTTCGCAACAACAAAGATAACGCATTCATTTATTATTGCCAATTAAATCATGCTTAATTCTTTCTGGAATTTTTTGGAGGAAATAAGCGTTTGAGATTTACTTCGTAATTTTTAATATAGATATTTTGAGTTTTTATGTATTTTTGCCTTCTCGCGAAGTGAGAACTGAATTAATTAAATGAGAAATACTCAATCGTCTGTGAAAAACTGTTTCTTTTTTGTTTTGTTTGCTTAATTTCTTTTATACATAGTTCTAGCTTTATTACAGTATTTGAATAGAACATGTGGCAACGATTAGATAATTCTTTAAATGATATACATTTTGTGCATTCGGAGTTATAAATATGAATGAAATATAATACTGTTAATAAACCTTGTGCCAGAGTGTCGCTATGGTAAACAAAGTGAATTTAAAAGAATGCATTTATTCTATTGTGGTTTATGCGCTGTCGGCGAAGTAGGTTTAATTCAATCTAAACAAGTGTAAATAAAATGCAAGAAAAAATGCGTATAATTTAGTATTCCGTACAAGGAAGTCATGTGGTGTACACATCAGATTTTTTTTAAGTTTTCAGTTTTTTTAAGGGATATTAAATTGGGATCTAGATATAACTGCTGCATTCAGCCGTTTCTTTCCGAATTGAAAACACTTTAATTTGTTCCTAAGAAGACTGAAAGAAAACGGCTAGTTCTTAGATCCTAGAGCTTTTGTCCTTGAAATAGGAAATGAAGAATGATGACGTAGTCATGCTGACATGACTGCAGGGATGCACAGTACAGCAAAGCAATTAGCGTTTTAAATTTGAAGAACCAGGCTTATAATGAACTGTGCTTGAAAAATTTTTGTAATTTAGAAGATGTTACATATTTCTCGCGTCATTCTACTAGAGAGCACTGCGTTCGTTCCAATAGTCAGTGGCAGGCAAGAAACCTAAGTGTGCGGGACATGCAATGCTGAGATGGCTAACAATATATCTCCAACTGGTTTGAAAATTCTATATATTTACTTGTAAATAAATGCTTTTATTGTTTAGAAAAACTATTGTTACCCCTTGGATGCACCTTTAGACTCACAGAACCATTAGATGCAAAAGAAGATATCTATTTCTTTGCTATAAAAGTAATAAGTTTACTTTAATAGTTTATATTCGTAGTAAAAGTATTTATTTACAATCGCCTGCCATCTTAAAAAACGACGTGTTCAATAAAAAATTCATACATTATTTTCAACGATATGGCATATTTTTAAATTTTAGAATATTTTGCTTATATTACTTTAGCGACAGTTAAGTCTCAGCTTTGAAGAAAGACAAACATTCATAATATGCATGAAAGCAACTGACGTACATTTTCATTTTCCATCTTACAAGAGAGCATTACTTTGTTGACAATTCAAGCTTACTATAAAGTTTAGTTATGCAGACACTTAAATTATTAGTAATAGTTGCTTCGCTTCCAGATAAACGATCTACTAACAGAATTAAAAAATATTAATGATACAATGTGTTTGTTACCTTAGTTTATTTGAGAAGCGAAATTAAAAAGGGCTATCATATCTGCCGAATCAGATCCAAGAAACTGGAAATTTAACTGTGTGATTACCTGTTTGATACATTGATAGCTGTGACCATCACTGTACGAAAGTACCCAAGATGCGTACTTCGCAGTGAAAGAAAACTTCTCTGAATATTTTAACTCAGCAACGCGATTTCTTCAAACGATGTATTTTAATTGTTAAGCACATGTCACTGTGAACAACTGGAAAATTTAATCCGCATCAAGAAACATTAATGAAGTCAAACCTTTATGTAAATTGTGTTATGATTAAATACAAGAGCATGACAAAACTAGAGGTTAGTATTTTTTATCTATTTAAAAATACGAAAATGTCAAATCCAGTAAACCAGACTAAACATTTCTGTAATGTTTTAATACTCGTATTTGAAGCAGAATAAATTTATATTACATTTCCTCTTATACTGAAGAAGGTTAAGTGGTTAATCTTTGGATTATGGTAACTCGGCGGTTTTTTGGCGAAAATTTGACGACCAACCCTGCTACAGCAACCTGCTAGTTTTTGTTTGGACGCCATTTTGTTTTCACGAAGTAAAGGCATGGTTTTTTTTTTTTACTCAACATTTCCAACATTTTTTTCCAACAATCTGCTAGCCGAATTACGCTTATGCTAGAACTTTTATGGAATAAAAGTGCTTAATCATGACGAAGATTAGGTGCGAAATTACGACAAAGTGCAGAATCGCCCACTGCTGGCCGCGTTTTTACGAATTTCACATACACGGTATCATCTATGTACACGTCGACCTATTTTCACTTAAAAAAACATCTCAGAATTGCACAAAAATGGCATTGCGCACACTCTTGACTATATCCATGCACACTGCTAGCTATATCCAAGTCCTAGCTAGTAACCTTTATCGCCTTACCAAAATGTCGCCAAACTACCTGTTACCATATTCCAAAGATTAGCCGGTTAAGTAATTGGAAGAATGACTGAGTTGTTGCTTATATAAGCAACGCGTATTTTGATAATGTATAGTAATAATACATGTAATTTTAGTATGATGATTCTCACATATACGAGACACATACATACGTTCAAGTACACTGATGCATACGTTCAAAATACACTGATACTCATTTCAATATGTATGATGTGAGTACATGCATACGTTCAAATACACTGATACTCATTTCAATATGTATGATGGATTAATAAAAATTGCAGGTACTCTTCTGTTATCTGGAGCGGATTCAGAAATGCACGTATGTATGGATGTGTTATGTATGTGTGTGTAGTGCATACACACAGTATGCATGCACTGTTGGTGTATACACACATTGTATGTTGGATGTACGTGTTCGTGTATGCATATATGAACAAATAGAACGATACACGCATGCATACATACACACAGTTCTGAAACCGGTTCCGGTAATAGCAGAGCACCAAATTATATTGATATAACATAATATTGTATATATTCTAAGTACGAAAACTATTTTGTTTGGAAAGTTACTTTAATTCGGTATTAAAAATGTTTCTTTTCATTATTTCTTCAGGTTCCAATTCTTTACTCGATGTGATCTATGTATATATGTATGCTTTTCAAAACTTGGTTTGATCTCTGTATATATGTTTACATTTCCTTTTAGTTTATAAGCAAATGTGAATATAATACCCTTATAATAAATTAAAATTCAGTGATCTATATGATTAAATGTTGCGAAATGAATTTTGCGTTGACTAGGGAAAAGAACGGGTTAAACTATCAAACGCTGTATACCTTGATTAAATATAACAAAGGTATAATACGAAGCAAAACTTTTTTAAGCTTGCTAATAATATGATCTTTCTAATAAGTCTAATTTATCTAAATCATTTTGTGAATACACGTAATTAATAAATAAAAATTTAGATGAGCTTTAATTTTATATAGTGAGTTTTCGATTGGGCCAATTAGGCGATAATTTTCATTGTTGACGTTAGTTTTTTTTAAGTTCCATTTATTTGTATCTAAACTATAGTCTACCCAATTTTAGATTTCATGTTTTTACTTGTAGGTACGTATTTTTAAGTTCTGTGTATTTCTTTCACACACAAAAAAGGGACAGTTCTATATGTCCCATTCTATTGGGTCAATACGAAGTCTCAAAGCGCGACTTAGCATAGTATGTATTAGGTTTCTATATAACATTGTTCTAATATTGGTATTTTGGCACAAAATCGGACTTTTCTAAAATGACATAACTATGTTTTTCCATATTTCAATTCTACGACACGAATTATGCCAAAGTCCCAAATTTTGTTTGTAATTTCGCTTAGAAAATATCAATGAGTTGCATGAATTTGGCATTGCGCTAATTAAACAATAGGCTACAACGTTTAGAGCTTTGCCAACAGGTGCCTCTTTAAAAAATACCAAAATGCTCTCGACGCTAATATTATTAAATGGATTATAAAATACTTTTCTTTCTGTAAAGGTCTGCGTACAAAATGTAATAAAGGGTATTTATTACACATAGTAATATTTGTACTTAGGAACAATATGGAAATGGTACCTTAAAATTGGGAGAGGATGAAATAAAAATTTGTGAAACAGAATGTTTAGATGTTTAGAATTTGCCGAAAGAGGTTTATTTAAATCCTTTCAACATTAAATTTTTTAAAAAGAAAGCTTTTAAACATTTAAATTTGTTTAAAAAAGAGGATACAATATGTTGCTGAAATGTTTGAAAAAATGAATGTGGGTTTAGTACTATTCTGATTCTTAAAAAATCATAATTTTTAAGAATTAAAACATTTCAAAATACATAATTTTTACGATAACAAAAATATACATACAAAAATACGGTACTTCTGTTACCGGGACCGGAGTCGTCGCCAGATGTTTGCTAAATCCGCCAAGAGATTGGTTCATACGAAGTTACCAATATTTACTTCTATAAAGTCGTTACAAAGTTAACTTTTTAAGAAAAAGTAAATGAATGTCTTTTCAAATTCACAACGAGAAGGCAAATTCCAAAGATGTAACGGTCACTTGTTACATCTTTACTATTATTGTATTTACTATGGATGATTTGAAAATTTGGACATGCCGAATGATGAAATATCTTCCATACACGTTACCCGTTACCCAGAAATGAAGAATTTTTTCAGATTGAAAAAAAGGTGCACGAAAAACCATAAAATTAATTTTTTTCAGCTTTCTTTGGCAAGTTGTTTAATTTACATTAAAATTTCTAATTTTAAAAATATCTTGTTATTTTTTCCCTTGGATGTTAAACTTAGCCGTATCGTATTTTATTTCTCGTAATTTAAATACTTTGGAGAATTTTCGGATATGAAATACTGATCTGTTTGCATTCGGTTCTCATCTCATACTGTGCCCAAATGCTTGTTTTAATACAATTCCTCGAGAACTGTTTCTTTTCATCGAGATCAAAATTTGACTTCTATATTCATGCCAAATCTGGGTATCGCTCCATTTTATTTAAGTCTTCCTCTTAGTGTATACTCTCTCTCTGTCTACTTTTGCATTATAACCAACAAAATGTAAATTAAAACTAGATCTTTTAGTGGCATATTTTCAAAACATTAAAAGCTTTTCTCGAACAATTTCGGAGATGTGTGTAAATTTGCTAATTTCATGCCAAATCTGGGTAGAATTTCGTGTCAAAGTCTCCCTATTAGTGTATACTCTCTCTATATATACTTTACATCGCATGGGCCTACCAGCAGCCGAGCGGTAAAGTAGCTGAACACTGGTAGTTCGGTCCGATGTAGCAATCCCGCGAACGGGCTGGTTACCTGAGCGTTTTCATGGTTTTCCCCATGTGTACGTGTATCCGAGCCCGTTTCCCTTAGAAAGTCCTCCACTAAGGCATCCCTCCCCATAGGAAGATAGCTCTTAAGGCTTTGCCATAATCACAATCACTACACCCCATGAAGACAACAGGTCTGCTGTTATACTTTAGCTGCTACTACGTCTCTTCTAGAGGGGGAAAAACTACTAAAAACTCCAAAGCCTGGAAGGACATCACATGGGCATACAAGGCCCTTGAATGAAATACATTGGAATCGCGTGTTGCTAAAATGTATATTATATCATGAACCAAAAGGTTGCACTGCATAAAAAATTACTAATTTTATTGAAATAACTAATTTGAGAAATATATTTCTCATGCTTAAAAATACTTTACAGCAGTCAAAATGAGCCGACGAGGAAACTGTATTTTCTACCAAATCAAGATCGCGTATATGTCTTTCTGAACAATATTGTTTAGCAGTTGTTGTTCTCCAGCGGAAAAGATCCAGATCTTTTTCATGGTTCGATTCCGCGTCTTAAATTATACCTGAAGTTCCAAATTTTGTAAAAATAGTGTAAACCATTTTGGAGTTTGCTTCTGAGAAATGCAACTTTAATTTTTAGCTTGGCTGTAAAAACATTCACTTGGTGAACCTCTTTTTATTCTCATTAACCCTATTATTTTTCTTCCCCTCTTTTTAATTCTTAGTCAATGACCACTTGACAACACCTTTCAAAACAAACCTTTTTTTGTCCCTGAATTTCATGGAAGAATGGTTGTCACAGCCTCAGGGAGATTGAAGTTCTACTTCCACCCGGATTTTGAGAGCAATCCGGCGGGTGATCCGAGGTTTTCCCACCCCTCCCTTTTACCTCCAAACCACACGAGAAGACGTTCCGCTCGCCATATATTTAGAGTGTCTCCCTGCCGCAAACACACTGTACATCTATCAACATCAGTGCCTTCTCCGAGATTCGAACCAGGGTCTTTCGGTACCGGAGCTGGCTTTCCCAACCACTATACCGTCTGAGCGGCATATGAAGACTTAAAGTTGAAAACATCTGTGTTTCTTCGTCTTCTGCCGCCCAATGTATCAACCTTATCTATATGGTGTACCAATCTACCCTATTTATATGTCCAGCCTTGTCTATGTATCTATTATCAATGTACTAACCTTACTATATATACCTATGTATGTTGACCTTGTAATCATCCAAAATATAAATACGTATTAGCCTATCAATCCCTTTTTATGCATCCATGTGAGAACTTTGAAAGTAGTGTCCATGATTTGCAGAAACAATTCATATTGAAGGACGCTATATTTACCATGTCTCTTTCGTGGACAGAAACAAAGAACATCATTTTACATTACCAACAATAACGTAAGGCCTATGAGAGTTTTGAAACACTTCGGCTCCCGTATCAGATAGCTTGGATTTACTTCCATATCCGGAGAAGATTGTAGGTTTGCATGGATTTAGACTCCCTTGTTCCTCTCACACTCTTTTACAATGACGACAAA